ATTTCTCTCAAATATTGTTCACAAATCTGAAAAAATCTGTGATAGTGAGCACTTCTCCTTTGCCGAGATAATCCATCCCACCTCACAGGTGTGGCATATCAAGATGCTGATTAGACAGCATGATTATTGCACAGGTGTGCCTTAGGCTGGCCACAATAAAAGGCCACTCTGAAACATGCATTTTTGATTTATTGGGTGGGTCTGGGGGGGTCCGAAAACCAGTCAGTATCTGGTGTGAGGGTTAGGGTTAGGGTTAGGGTAATGTTGTGAATCGAGTGGCCTGTGTTCATCGTCCATAGAGTACGCCTGCCCATACCATAACCCCACAACCACCATGGGCCACTCGATTCACAACATTACCCTAACCCTAACCCTAACCCTAATCCTAACCCTCACACCAGATACTGGTGTGAGGTGCTCACTATCAAAGATTTTTTCAGATTTGTGTACAATATTTGAGAGAAATGGTTATTTNAGCATCGATCTGTGTATCTATGATCCGTCACAGGTTACCTCATCCTCCTCCTCCTCCTCCTCCTCTTCCTGTGCATTTTTGCTTTATTGGGGGGTCTGGCCCAGACCCCCCAATAAAGCAAAAATGCACAGGAAGAGGAGGAGGAGGAGGAGGAGGATGAGGTAACCTGTGACGGATCATAGATACACAGATCGATGCTTTATTGATCCCAAATGTGGAAATGATTGAGTTCCATCGGGAGAGTTCAGGCATTCGAATACTATCATTCGGACAAGTAGAGAGTCTTCATCATGAGTCTGAGTCTTCAGAGACTTCTCGACGCTGTCCTGCAAACAGACTTTCATTTCACTTTAATTAATGTTCATATAAACATGTATGTTATTCTAATATGGAGTAACTGCATATCCAAACCAACATTCCCCCTGAGAGTAACAAAGTGTTTTGATTCTTCTGCAAGTTGAAGGCCAACAGAAGGCCATCTCACACACACACACACACACACACACACACACACACACACACACACACACACACACACACACACTGAAACCTCAGCATCTACCTGGCTGCCACGCTGGCACCCCCCAAACTCCTAAATGTCTTTATGGAGGTGTTTAAAAAGCCCCCCCCCCTCTGGCTCTTTCCAGCATGGCGTCGGGGGGCCAGGGGTCCCCTCTTCCTCTTCTTTCTTCTCCTCTTTTCAAGTCCCTTCTTCTCTCCCTCTCAGCAATTTTTAAATAGTCCTTCTTTCCATATTAGCGTCTCTGAGAGCCCGTTAACGATCCAGTCCCTCCGACCCCCTGCTGGCTTCTGTTAGCACTTAGCTACGTTAGCAGGGGGTGAAAAGGGACGGAGAGGAGGAGCTGCTCGATTGGACCTGCAGGTTTTTGAAGTTTTATGGAGCTGCTTAAAATTGGATTTCGGGGGGTTTACGTTAAAATGTTTATGGCAGCCACCTTGTTCATTGTGGGGCCCTTTATTTTTGTTACATCGTAAGGAAGTTATATGTTTCCACGTGAGCCAAAAAGCAAGAGTTCAAAACCAAAACAACTCGTGGTTTACTGCAACTTTGACACGATGCATGTTTTCTGCAGATGATCAGATTGGTTTGAAACAGCAGAAAGGTGCACTGGTCTGTAGTCACTGCACAACCCTAACCCTGATTCTGTGCTAACTGATAGCAGTTTATACAGAAACTACCTTTTTAAATAATAATAATAATACATGTCATTTATATAGCGCTTTTCCTGGTGCTCAAAGCGCTTAAAGACGAGGTTCGGGACGTCCGTACTCCTGGGCCAGAGCAACTCTCAGAAAACCATTGAACTCCAGCCCCGGGGACAGAAAGGGAAACCATGCCAATCCATTCCTTTCCAAGTTCATGGCTATGATACTCCTACAAACCCATTCTCATTGTTTTTCCATTGGAGCACTTCTCCTGTCTATAGGTCAGAGGTCACAGTCAAACACGCCCACCTGAGACCAGTCCTGACAGGGAAGTGATCTGTGTTGGTATCGACAGAGGAGGAATTCCCTCTGAGCCGCAGAGAGATCTCTCCGTCTATACCAGGCAACCTGCGGCCCTTTAAGCCCTCTGCTCTGGCTCCCTTGAGCTTAGACAAAAACAAGAAGGAAACAAAATAAAAGTATTTGTAGGACTATTTATATTTTGTTGCACGGTTGAAAATGTTTGGTATCTTGTATTTTGAGGTGATACTGTGACACATAAATAAAAAACAAAACGCTTTTAATTAGGTCAACTAAAATATGCGTCACATCCTGCTACGGTCCCGCGCCAGCGCCTTTTCTTGCAGGCGAATAACCTGACCCCCGGCTCCATGAGCGAACTATGGAAAAGTATGTGAGGAACACAGGATTTAATTCTGCGCGGACAGAGTTATCTGCTTTCACAGCAAACGATGCTGGTATGTTTGATATGTGGAGAGAAGCTGTCAAAGGTGCTGCAGCCTTTACGTATCGAGGAACAACACGGAAGAGGAAGACAGCTGATGATCTTCAGTCGTAATTCAATCCGTTAACTCTTTTCAGGTTGCAGCTATATGTTTTATTTATTTCAAAGTGAGTCCATTTGAATTATTTTCTTCCAATGTGCAGAGGACTCCCCAAGTGCTGTTTGATTGATTTTAAAGTAGGCCTGTGAATTTTTTTTATTCTCCTTTTGAGAGTTCTTTGTTTCTTTTTAAGCAGTTTTCTATAATGTAATAAATAATAAATGCAACAAATCTGTAGTGTTTGTCTGTGATATAACAACGAGTTTATAAGCTATCAAGCTATCAGATATGTTTTGCGGCTCCAGAAAAAGAAATGGGTGGAAAAAAGGGGTGAAAATGTCTCCTTTGGTCAAAGAGGTTGCAGAGCCCTGCTCTATTCTCT